TTTATTGTTTCCCTTCTACGTGCAGGTGACTCTACTGAAAGAACCAAGAATATGAATCCCTGCAGTCACGAAAGCTTTAAATCAAAATGTATTATATTATTATATTACTATTATAATATTCAATTAAAATATTTTATTATTATATATTTTATATTATATATTAAATGTTATTATAATATTTTATTATTATATTACTATTGTTTTATTATTATATTCTTGGTTCTTTCGGGAAAGTCACCACGTAGAAGGGAAACAATAAAATAATAAAAATATAAAACAATCATTATTTGCAACTCTTTGCCAAGCCACTGCTGTATAAAGGGATCTCCACGTGTTGTAGGTGGAGGAGGGTCAGTGGGCTAGGAGCCAGGATTTTGACTTTGGGGGGGGTTGCTGACTTCAATATTCTGAGACATCTCAGTGTGTTGAGGTTTTACAATGGGCCGCCACAAATGTATAAAACTAATTTTAATTGGATTTGAACGCGGAGTTCATTAACAGGTGACAGCACACGTGGTGACATCACACGTGGTGGTGACAGCACACGAGGTGACATCACACGTGGTGGTGACATCACACGTGGTGGTGACATCACACGTGGTGGTGACATCACACGTGGTGGTGACATCACACGTGGTGGTGACATCACACGTGGTGGTGACAACACACGAGGTGGTGACATCACACGTGGTGGTGACAACACACGTGGTGGTGACAACACACGTGGTGGTGACAACACACGTGGTGGTGACAACACACGTGGTGGTGACATCACACGTGGTGGTGACATCACACGTGGTGGTGACAACACACGAGGTGGTGACAACACACGTGGTGGTGACAACACACGTGGTGATGACAACACACGAGGTGACATACCAGGTGGTGACAGCCTGCAGGGCAGCATATGAGGTCCCCGACTTACGACGGTCCCCGACTTACGACGATCCCCGACTTACGACGACCCCCGACTTACGCTATTACGATCTTACGATAAGGCAAAATTGTTAAAATATTTTAAATTTCACGCGGCAGGCAAACGCAGCGACGTGCGAGGTACGAATCTTGGCGAGTACAGTACAACATACGATACGCTACGTTCAATGCATGTTTAAAGTTGTTATAGCTTAGATAGTATTGTTTCCTGGAAAAAACTTTATATTAAATTGCAGCTCATAGTCTAAGAATTTACCTTGTTTGTTTAACTTTACATTTCACTGTGCAATACAGTATTGTAATAAATACATGCGGTATATAGTTTATACTGCACTACTGTAAATTATCTCTGTTTTTGCTAAATTATCACCATTCTGTAAGACTCCCGGCTAGGCTAAGGACGATATTTCCGAGTTACGGTGTTGGTTGCTGTAACGCAACTCCGTCGTAAGTCGAGGACTACCCTGGAAACGCTTTACACACAATAACAACGTTTTATTCTTAAACAACGCCTTCTTATTTTAAAGTGCGCTAAAAGGTAAAGAAGAAGCAGTCGAGTGGACAACGGGAAGTGGACGACGTTTTGATCACAAGCTTTAAAGATTAACAATAATAACAATAATAATAACAACAATAATTAAAAAGTTTATAACTCACCGCCGTGAGAGAAGGACGTGGCGCCTGCTTCTCCGGCGAGGCGATTCCACACTTTAGGGACCGCGGCGTTTCATTGACCTAGCCAAATAAACATCAAATTAATAATCCGTCCATGCAATTTTTTTATAATTGCTTTAAAAGAGCCGCTTAATTGATTGATTACTTTATAGATTAATCTTCAACGTGCTACTTTTGTGTGTGTGTGTGATGCTGTCCGTAACTCGTTAACACGCGCACGGAGCAGGCGCGCCTCAGACACGCGGCGCCTGCTCGTCGCGCGAGACGATTCCGCAGTTTAGGGACCGCGGCGTTTTTCCCACCTGCACAAAAAAATGTAAAGATGCCGTCCATAAATCTTATTTTTAATTGCTGGAAAGGAGGAAATAAATTGATGAATTGACGCCGATTTTAATACAGGCTATGCATTGTCATAGCCTGTATTAAATGTAGTAGACTACATTTTTATTACAAGAATTTGACCACGGCAAACAGGGGAATCAATTTCGGTAAAAGCGTTGAAAAATTTTAGAGGGGCAGAAATTACTCCATCGAGAACACAACATTTTAATTCAAACCCAGTAAACATGCAACGTTGAGCCAACGTTGGCATTTGGTTAACATAGATGTACACACACAGTGTGATTAACATGTGTACACACACAGTGTGATTAACATGGTGTACACACACAGTGTGATTAACATGGTGTACACACACACAGTGTGATTAACATAGGTGTACACACACACAGTGTGATTAACATGGTGTACACACACACTGTGTGATTAACATAGGTGTACACACACAGTGTGGTTAACATAGGTGTACACACACACAGTGTGATTAACATGGTGTACACACACAGTGTGATTAACATGGTGTACACACACAGTGTGATTAACATAGGTGTACACACACAGTGTGGTTAACATAGGTGTACACACACAGTGTGATTAACATAGGTGTACACACACAGTGTGATTAACATGGTGTACACACACAGTGTGATTAACATGGTGTACACACACAGTGTGATTAACATAGGTGTACACACACAGTGTGGTTAACATAGGTGTACACACACAGTGTGATTAACATAGGTGTACACACACAGTGTGATTAACATAGGTGTACACACACAGTGTGGTTAACATGGTGTACACACAGTGTGATTAACATAGGTGTACACAGACACACAGTGTTACTATTATGATGGGCTCATCTTGCCTTAGCAGTAGCGTGACATCATACGCTGAGTTTGTATTGTGTTTTTCTCGAACTTGCTTTGAATTAGCCCAGCTAATTGACCCCGCGGTGTGAAAGTGGTAACTCTACATGTGTGGCTTGCCAGAGGCAGTCTTCACTGCAGTGAGCATTGGTGATGATACCACACTGATGAGTCTGATCAATGACTAAATGGGCCTAGAGTTACCCATCTCTGTATTGGTGATGATACCACACTGATGAGTCTGATCAATGACTAAATGGGCCTAGAGTTACCCATCTCTGTATTGGTGATGATACCACACTGATGAGTCTGATCAATGACTACATGGGCCTAGAGTTACCCATCTCTGTATTGGTGATGATACCACACTGATGAGTCTGATCAATGACTACATGGGCCTAGAGTTACCCATCTCTGTATTGGTGATGATACCACACTGATGAGTCTGATCAATCACTAAATGGGCCTAGAGTTACCCATCTCTGTATTGGTGATAATACCACACTGATGAGTCTGATCAATTACTACATGGGCCTAGAGTTACCCATCTCTGTATTGGTGATGATACCACACTGATGAGTCTGATCAATGACTAAATGGGCCTAGAGTTACCCATCTCTGTATTGGTGATGATACCACACTGATGAGTCTGATCAATGACTAAATGGGCCTAGAGTTACCCTCTCTGAATTGGTGATGATACCACACTGATGAGTCGGATCAATGACTAAATGGGCCTAGAGTTACCCATCTCTGTATTGGTGCTACCTGACAGTCGGTCAGATTTGCTCAGATTTATTTTGACAGTGACCAAAGGTAAGAGAACCACAATGCACTGCTTAAGAAGAAACCGTTGGTGTTTATTTGCAAGTAAAACATGATTTTACAACCTGCGCTGTTATGATCAGATTTTTTCGTCAATTACAGGTTTAAATACTCTTTGATGGTGATATTAAAGGAATTACCAACACTGGATCAGGACCACAAATACGAATATCATGCCATGATCGTTTGAGCAGGAAGACAGTTTTATCAGTTACACAATTTTCTCTAAATTAATAGTCTAAAACAATGAATGATTCCCTTGTCTCACATGCAAGAGATAATTCTGAATCTAAATGCTGTCACCCAGTCACACACAGGATTAAATGTGCCCATTTAAAGTGTACATAATTATCCACAATGAAATTACAGCATTACACCTGTCCGTAGCAGCATCTTTCACATGTCGATGCAGAAAACTGCGAACCTGACTTTGTCATCCCTACAATTACACGTAATTTCATTAATACACATTCTTTCTGAGAGATGCATAAGTGACAAGGTCGCAATATATAAAAACAAGTAGCAGACACAGTTCGCACTGTTTAATGGAAGCGTCTGGGTGGCTTTGGGCTAACACTATGAGATTGGTACAAAATCCACGCATGGTTATTTTTTTCTCCTCAATTCTTTTAACGGCTAAACAGATGGCACATTATGTTCAGTGTATTTGGTAATGTTGTTCAGTGTAGCGCAGTGATAAAAGTGTCCAACCTATAACCAGATAGTCGCCAGTTCAATTCGCACACAGAGGTGGATTCTACAATTATTCCAGTTTAACACGTAGGCTTTCGCGACCAATTAATCCTCCGGGATTGATGCAGTAAGTACCGCTTTGTGGAACGGCAACGATCGCTTCACAGACATGTCCTTAAAAAATACCTTCATTGGCTGAGAAACTCCCGTGAAAATAAGCATCAACCAATGCTCACTTAGGCTTGAAGACAATTCTTACTATGTCTCTTTGGCCATTTGAATTCATGGCCAAACATAAAATGGCCAGAGCGGAGCCGGGCCCCAACAGCGTGGCTTTTAACTGCAGGCCGACCCACTATTTGTCGGCGTTCGGCTGGCCTCTTGACCAGCGGAAGTCGGTTTGCGATATTCGCGGGATTGCGTGCGGCACGACGCCTCATTAATTGAAATTTGCAACCATCGCGAAGATTCTGCGACGCTTTCGTTGCCGGTAATCTACAGCCTCCTTGAACACCCCCCACCCCCCCAGCTTGCCGACCAAAGCTCTGACGAGCTGAGCTTTGACCGACAACTCGCTCCACGTTCTGCATTCCTGAAATCGGTGCCCTGCCGAAAACGCAACATCAAGCGCCGCACAGCCCGCCGATGTATCTGTTGTGCGGCTCAATGGCCAGGTTCCTGCTGACACGCGGCTTGCGCGGCCAAATCGTGGTCATCCCAAATGTTGCCAAGGGTCTCTTTGCTGAACGGCGGCGGCAGCGGCGGCGACGACGACTCCATCTCCTGACCCACCTCCACAGGTGGCGTCTGCACCGACTTGGGCACCAGATGCTTGGCCGGCACGAGGCAGCGTGGGGGGGGGGGCACGGCGTGGGGGGCACGGCGTGGGGGGCACGGCGTGGGCACTCAGCGCTTCTGCTCCTCCTGCTGCTGCTGTGGCTGCTGCTGCTGATGCTGCTGCATCATTTGTTGCTGCTGTTGCTGCTGTGGCTGCTGCTGCTGCTGTTGCTGTTGTTGCTGTTGCTGCTGTTGTTGCTGTGGCTGCTGTTGCTGCTGTTGCTGCTGCTGCTGTTACTGCTGCTGTTGTTGCTGTTGTTGCTGCTGCTGTTGCTGTTGTTGCTGTTGTTGCTACTGTTGCTGCTGCTGTTGCTGCTGTTGCTGCTGCTGTGGCTGCTGCTGTTGCTGCTGCAGTTGCTGCTGTTGCTGTGGCTGCTGTAGTGGCTGTGGCTGCTGCTGCTGCTGTTGAGTTGACTGGTGACGAGGCACACGTGGTATGGCTGAGGCTGAGTGGGAGGGCTGCTCAGAGTGGACAGCAGGATTTTCCTGAAGCTCCATGACCTGCTTCCTGTTGAAGTTGTATTTACTGAAGAGTTCGAACACAGGGGGAGGACGTAGAGTTAGAACAGACACACAGGTCCATGCCTGTGGGTTTCATCATGTTAGGTTCAAGCCCATCTTGACACACACAGGTCCATGCCTGTGGGTCTAATCATGTTAGGTTCAAGCCCATCTTGACACACACAGGTCCATGCCTGTGTGTCTAATCATGTTAGGTTCAAGCCCATCTTGACACACACAGGTCCATGCCTGTGTGTCTAATCATGTTAGGTTCAAGCCCATCTTGACACACACAGGTCCATGCCTGTGGGTCTAATCATGTTAGGTTCAAGCCCATCTTGACACACACAGGTCCATGCCTGTGTGTCTAATCATGTTAGGTTCAAGCCCATCTTGACACACACAGGTCCATGCCTGTGGGTCTAATCATGTTAGGTTCAAGCCCATCTTGACACACACAGGTCCATGCCTGTGTGTCTAATCATGTTAGGTTCAAGGCCATCTTGACACACACAGGTCCATGCCTGTGTGTCTAATCATGTTAGGTTCAAGCCCATCTTGACACACACAGGTCCATGCCTGTGTGTCTAATCATGTTAGGTTCAAGCCCATCTTGACACACACAGGTCCATGCCTGTGGGTCTAATCATGTTAGGTTCAAGCCCATCTTGACACACACAGGTCCATGCCTGTGGGTCTAATCATGTTAGGTTCAAGCCCATCTTGACACACACAGGTCCATGCCTGTGTGTCTAATCATATTAGGTTCAAGCCCATCTTGACACACACAGGTCCATGCCTGTGTGTCTAATCATGTTAGGTTCAAGCCATCTTGTAATCCTTGAACCCAATATCACACCGTGCCCTTGACAGCAATATAATAATTTGACATCAATAAAAACACATGGGATGTACTGCAGTAATTAACACCACTGCATAGTACTGTCGTTTGTAGTAGTTTGTCCTCAATATAGCATAAGTGGAAACAACCCTGGGGCAAAATCTGAAAAGCATACTCCCCAATCTCTAAAAATTAAGAGTGTGCAACTTAATGTTGTTAAGTTTAAATAACGGTCGCTAAGCACAGGCTCAAAATGCTAAGAAGCCAGCAACAGCACCGTAAGAATGTCTACTCGTTCAGCGTTCATCTGCTTATTTAATTCAGCAAGGTGATGAGAAACCTTAGCCATAAGGGCCCAATTACCAATGAGTCACAAGGCACCATGGGTAATGCTGGGGCCCCTCACCGAGTCTCAGGGCATCCGTGATGGACTAGGACGTGAAATTCGCACGCACAGGAATCCACATATCAGCTTCATTTAGTCGTCATGGATATTGTTTAAAATATTTGCCATCTGTTGCACAATGGCATACTCTTTTCGATTTGAAGCTTTCGTGACTGCAAGGATTAATCGTCTTTGGTTCTTTCGGTAAAGTCACCGCCACGTAGAATGAGAATAAAATAAAATAACACAATAAAATTCTCGCGACGTTTCGGCCACAACGCAAACAGGTCTGTACCATTCACCTGAAGACGGCCGCTTGCGTTGTGGCCAAAACGTCGTGAGAATTTTATTATTTTATTTTATTATTTTATTCTCACTCTACGTGGTGGTGACTTTACCGAAAGAACCAAAGAAAATGGCATACTCGTTGTGTTTTTTAGTAGTCTCTCGTCATGCCAACTTGACAACAGTATTTGTCCTCTGGAGACACTGGCCTCCACCGTGTGAATGTTGAATCGACACGACTACCTCGGTCCCACCGACATCGCTCATTTGACCTGGGAGACAGCTTTCACTTTGACTAACAGTTAATCTTAAAGCAGTGATGGTTTTGGGCAGCAGTGATCGTTTGGGCAGCGACGCATAACCTGTATTCAATTTACCTTGGGTAAATTCGGCTTTAACGGGTAACCGGTATTGGTTTGTAAACATAAATTGTGGAGAGAAAAGAGCACGTTGCTGCCTCGTGAGCCACAACTCAGCCTTAATAGGTCTCTTAAACGGTCACTTAGGAGAGCTTTGTGTTGTTTTGTCGTGCAAATCACCAAATCAGCTGCTCCACGCACGGCAGGATCATCTCCCAGGCGAGGCCAGTGAAGTGTTGCATGTACAGAGTCCACGCAGAGGGCAGCTTCACTTCTATACGGGCCAATGCTATGCTTGCAGCCGCCACCACGGATGGACGGAAACTCAGGAATATGTGGTCTGCATACACACAAACAAAGACAAAAACCCTCCGTTTAGCCTTAACAGACTGTAGGGGCAAGTGCTGCTGGCGAGCAGCACCACCTATGAAGGGCGGCACGGCACACGAGGGGGTGGGTGGCCAGCACCACGCCCGGCCGCCTTTGTCTCCCCAATGTTTACACACCGCATTGAGTTACTCATTTGAGGCTGAGTCGACCTAGGGGAGGCCCAGGACCGGTTCAGATAATCGTCACCAGTGATAGCCGTGAGCGGGCGTTGGACCAGGGTGTCCAGGGTCGTAGCGCAGCGTAGCGCTAACCGCTACGCCACCTCTACCCTGCACACAGGAATGACAGGCAGGCACACACAGACGCTTAAACGCACAAGCACCCAGTGAACGAGGAACGTTGGGCCAACGACACTTGAACATTTGAACAAACATTCCGACGTTGGACAAAAAAATATATATTCGGTGACGTTTCAGGCACTGCCCCTTCTGTCGCTGGTCACCTTTGCGCTGCAAGGCCGGTGCCTACGAAGCGCTCCTCTACAGCTCTGCGAGCACCTTGCAGGGCGAGCTGAAGGAAGTGGGCCGTGTACTTGATGGTGTACGCGTGCCGGTAGGACGAGCCTCCAGCCGGGGCGTCCTCACGCCGCGACAGCCACAGGAAGTAGTCCACGAAGTGCGCCGCTGTGGGCGTGCACAGGTTCCAGTCGAGTGTACGCAGCAGCAGGAACTGTGCAGGGGGGAGGCAGACGGGAGAGTGGGCTGGCACGGCACAGCTGCCACCACTCCGTGAAGCATTCAGTCCGCCACGCTGCTGTGTGTTGCCTGGAGGGTTTATTTAACTATTCTAGATTTAAAGCTTTCGTGACTGCAAGGATCCATACTCTTTGGTTCTATTCGGTAAAGTCACGTAGGTAAAAAATAAAACAACAAAAATCACGACGTTTCGGCCACAACACAAGTGGCCTTCATCAGGTGAAGGGATCAGGCGGTCTCGAGGACAGCGCTGGAGTGAAACAGAGCCACGCTCAGACCGCGACCTTTAAGCTGTGTGCGAGGAAACAAGGTGCCTTGACAAAGGAATTAGCATAAAAAAATAGCATTTGATTGGCCGACTTAGCATAGAAGTGGTGTACATGCGGGTGCACTTGCCGGTTGGCGCGGGGGGGGGGGGGGGAGTTTACCTATTGATGGTGTGAAAGGGGAATTTAAGAGCTGCGAAAGTTTGGGGTACCACTACTTGAAAAATATACTGTACCATTGAAAATTAGTTTAATGTTTGGTTCGATTTAGAACATCTTTCCAATGGTTGCTTAACTAGTCGGGTTGGTGCATGGCTCGCAAACAGTTCAAATGTCTGGTCAAGGAGTCAACTCGGCCCTTCGTCTGCACGGGTAAATGCAATGGCCGTCATATTCTTTTGGGTCTTTCGGTAAAAGCCACGTAGATTGAAAAATTAATAAAAAATATCACGTTTCCATCGCAACGCAAGCAAATCGTCACGGGGTGATTGTTTTACGGAGAGACTGAGCCCCACCATAGGAAGGGAGAATTTCCTGCACTTGTTGGAGCGCCGTGCAAATAAATGAGCACCACTCCACGTTCATTTGTCAGGTCTGCTGTGGTAATGTTATTCTGCAGCTTTTGCCTTCCTGTTATCTAGTAAGAAGACACGCTTCTATATTCAAATTCGGGCTGTACATTCAAATTGTCTACAGAATAATTAGTTGGCATGAAACAGAGATGATGTGTTCATATTCTTTGGGTCTTTGACGTTTCGATCGCAACACAAGCAATCACCTGAGGACGACTGCTTGTGTTGCCATCGAAACGTCGTCATTTTTTAAATTATTTTTCTATCTACGTGACTTTACCGACAGACCCAAAGAGTAAGATTGTAAAGTAACAAGACAAAACAATTGGTTTCTTGAATCAAATCGCGACCTTGAATCATGACAATGCACGGAACGGTTCTGGGGGGTGAAACATTGCATGCCGAATTAACAGGGGCATGCAGCTACCTCCGTCTGCTGCAATTCCTCCTTGGACAGACTCAGCCCTTGCTTGATCATCACCTCCAACCGGTTCACCCAGTCCAGTCGCGGCACGTGCTCATCCATCTCCTCGAACTTGGCTGCGCAGGGTGTCAGGGACACGCATGCCGACGGTGAGCAAGCGACCAAGCGTGCGAGCGAGAGATGAGCGAGTGATCGGGTGGGTGGGTGGGTCACGTGAGCGATTGACCGACCTGCTATAATGAGGTAGCAGATTGAGCAGGTGTAGAGGCAGCGGACGGTGATGTCGTGGCGGTCCATGAACACGTCTAACATTGCGATGGCCAGGTGGTGCGTGGCCACACTCAGCTGCAGGCGCTCGCTCAGCGTTGCCAGGAGGTCGACGAAGTGGCGACGGAGGTGCAGCTGGGGCGAGCGTGCGCAAAACCGAGGCAGCGACAGCTCCTGCGAGGGGGGAAAAAAAACGAGGACACGGGGGTTGGGAGGGCAGTTGGGACGCTGTGGAGTTGGGTCAAGAGGTGTTTTGAAATGATAATAGATTATTCTGGGGGTCTAAGGAGGCGACGTGCCCGGTTACGGTGGGCCACAGCAGTTAATTTTCGCCGTCATGCAAACCAAGAGTGACAAAAGCCACGGGCCAAATTGTCTCCCTGTTCAAGCGAGTGAAAGATGGCGAAGAACTCATTCGGTAGTCCTCAGCCTATGATGAAAAAAAACCATAAGGTGTGGAGATCCGTACCTCCAGAGCACAGCCACTTTTATTCTTCCACAAGGTACCGTATCGCTCGTGTTATAGTCCCCGGAGAGATAGGGGGCCGGGTCGACCCGCTGGCCAGGATTGAACTTGCAATTTCCCACTGCGAGTCGAGCACTCAAACGTACGTGCCGTGTAAATCAGTTCGTGGGATTTGCGTCTGCGTGTAGGAGGCCTATTAATGAGAGAGGCGGATACCTTCTCTCGAAGGACGCGGTAGACGTCGTCTGCCAACTCGCCTTGCCACCACTCGCTTCTGTCCATGTCTTGGTTAGTCGCTCGCGCCTCGTGCTCAGGAGTTTATTACTTGGGCAGGCACGTGCTGGGTACACACAAGTGTTCACGTGTGGAGTTTATTACTTGGACAGGCACGTGCTGGGTAGACACAAGTGGAGTTTATTACTCGGACAGGCACGTGCTGGGTACACACAAGTGTTCACGAGTGGAGTGTATTACTTGGACAGGCACGTGCTGGGTACACACAAGTGGAGTTTATTACTCGGACAGGCACGTGCTGGGTACACACAAGTGTTCACGAGTGGAGTTTATTACTCGGACAGGCACGTGCTGGGTGCACACAAGTGTTCACGAGTGGAGTTTATTACTTGGACAGGCACGTGCTGGGTACACACAAGTGTTCACGAGTGGAGCTTATTACTTGGACAGGCACGTGCTGGGTTCACACAAGTGTTCACGAGTGGAGTTTATTACTCGGACAGGCACGTGCTGGGTACACACAAGTGTTCACGAGTGGAGTTTATTACTTGGACAGGCACGTGCTGGGTTCACACAAGTGTTCACGAGTGGAGTTTATTACTCGGACAGGCACGTGCTGGGTACACACAAGTGTTAACGAGTGGAGTTTATTACTCGGACAGGCACGTGCTGGGTTCACACAAGTGTTCACGAGTGGAGTTTATTACTTGGACAGGCACGTGCTGGGTACACACAAGTGTTCACGAGTGGAGTTTATTACTCGGACAGGCACGTGCTGGGTTCACACAAGTGTTCACGAGTGGAGTTTATTACTCGGACAGGCACGTGCTGGGTACACACAAGTGTTAACGAGTGGAGTTTATTACTCGGACAGGCACGTGCTGGGTACACACAAGTGTTAACGAGTGGAGTTTATTACTCGGACAGGCACGTGCTGGGTACACACAAGTGTTCACAAGTGGAGTTTATTACTTGGACAGGCACGTGCTGGGTGCACACAAGTGTTAACGAGTGGAGTTTATTACTCGGACAGGCACGTGCTGGGTACACACACAAGTGTTCACGTGTGGAGTTTATTACTCGGGCAGGCACGTGCTGGGTACACACAAGTGTTCACGTGTGGAGTTTATTACTCGGGCAGGCACGTGCTGGGTACACACAAGTGGAGTTTATTACTTGGGCAGGCACGTGCTGGGTACACACAAGTGTTCACAAGTGGAGTTTATTACTCGGACAGGCACGTGCTGGGTGCACACAAGTGGTCACGTGACAGATTTGATGTCACAGCTCACTTGCCATGCAAAAAATAAATACATTATTGAGCCCCCCCCCCCCCCTAAAAAAATATACAAAAGTGTATTTTCATAATTTGTGCATGGTGTACAGTCTGGAAAGCACCCACATGGCAAATTTCCAGTGTGTTGCATGTGGAGAAGTACAGACAACACACACAATCACAACTTTGCCTTTCATATATATGGAGATTACCACAGGTTACGCCACGGGCACTTCGTGCTCAACAGAGCATTAAGAATAAAGGCAGAATTTTCACAACACTTGGAAAAGAAACTACATTTGCAATTTTTTGCAAAAAAAAATGAACACATTTTCCCATGTGTAAAAAATAAATGCAATTTGTTATTGACATGTGTGCAAACTTCATAATGCATTTGCTTGAGCAACACCGATTACATTATTGACGAAATCTTAAAAGTGCTCATGCTAAACCGGCTTCCAAACGTCTCAAGCTCACACCCTACCCCCCGCTATGCATGTGGAATAATGTAAAAAATGTGTCCCGTTATGATGAAAAACAAAACAAAGTCTTACCAAACACTGTCCATTATTACACGGCGGGAAGGGAAATCGTTCAAGTAACAAACCGTGATTGTTTAAACGCCTCAATATGTCACGATATAGTCTAAATACAGCAAGTCTCAAGTCTTTCACGGTAACTACGGACGGAGCGGGCAGCACGCAGCCACGTGGGAGTCGTCACGTGACGCAGCCGCCGACTCCCAGGACTCTCCACGCCCCCGGAAGTGCTGCTGAGCGCCGGAAGCCGGAGGTGACGCGTCATCCGTGAGCCAGAGACTCCTGATTGGATGAGGTGTGGGCGTGGCCGCACCCGAGGGGGAGGCGACGGCCAGGGGATAAAGGGGGGGGGAGGGAGAGACCCACAGAGACTCATACTCATAGAGACCCACACAGACACCCACAGAGACCCACAGAGACTCATAGAGACCCATACTCATAGAGACCCACACAGACCCACACTCACAGAGACTCACACAGACACCCACACAGACTCACAGAGACCCACACTCACAGAGACTCACACAGACCCACACTCACAGAGACCCACACTCACAGAGACTCACACAGAGCCACACTCACAGAGACCCACACTCAAAGAGACTCACACAGACCCACACACACAGAGACCCACACTCACAGAGACCCACACAGACCCACACTCACAGAGACCCACACTCACAGAGACCCACACAGACCCACACTCACAGAGACCCACACAGACCCACAGAGACCCACACTCACACAGAACCATACTCACACAGACCCATACTCACAGAGACCCACAGAGACCCACACTAACAGAGACCCACACTCACAGAGACCCACACAGACCCACACTAATAGAGACCCACACTCACAGAGACCCACACAGACCCACAGAGACCCACACTCACAGAGACCCACACAGACCCACACTCACACAGAACCATACTCACACAGACCCATACTCACAGAGACCCACAGAGACCCACACTAACAGAGACCCACACTCACAGAGACCCACACTCACCCATACTAACAGAGACCCACACTCACCCACACCCACAGAGACCCATACTCACAGAGACCCACAGAGATCCACACAGACCCACATTCACAGAGACCCACACAGACCCACATAGACCCACAGAGACCCATACTCAAGAGACCCACACCCACAGAGACCCACACTCACAGAGACCCACACAGACCCACAGAGACCCACACTCACAGAGACCCACACAGACCCACAGAGACCCACACTCACAGAGACCCACACAGACCCACAGAGACCCACACTCACAGAGACCCACACAGACCCATAGAGACCCACACTCACAGAGACCCACACAGACCCACGCTCACAGAGACCCACACAGACCCACACAGACCCACACTCACAGAGACCCACACAGACTCACAGAGACCCACACTCACAGAGACCCACACAGACCCATACTCACAGAGACCCACACAGACCCACACTCACAGAGACCCACACTCACAGAGACCCACACTAACAGAAACCCACACAGACCCACATAGACCAACACTCACAGAGACCCACACAGACCCACACTCACAGAGACCCACACAGACCCACATAGACCCACACTCACAGAGACCCACACAGACCCACAGAGACCCACACTAACAGAGACCCACACAGACCCACATAGACCCACACTCACACAGACCCACATAGACCCACAGAGACCCACACTAACAGACCCACACAGACCCACACTCACAGAGACCCACACTCACAGAGACCCACACAGACCCACATAGACCCACACTCACAGAGACCCACACAGACCCACAGAGACCCACACTAACAGAGACCCACACAGACCCACATAGACCCATACTCATAGAGACCCACACTCACAGAGACCCACACAGACTCACAGAGACCCATACTCACAGAGACCCACATAGACCCACAGATACCTATATTCACAGAGACCCACACAGACCCACATATACCCATACTCATAGAGACCCACAGAGACCCATACTCAAGAGACCCACACCCACAGAGACCCACACTCACAGAGACCCACACAGACCCACATATACTCACAGAGACCCACATAGACCCACAGAGACCCATACTCAAGAGACCCACACCCACAGAGACCCACACTCACAGAGACCCACACAGACCCACAGAGACCCATACTCGCAGAGAGCCACATAGACCCACAGAGACCCATACTCACAGAGACCCACACAGACCCACACTCACAGAGACCCACACAGACTCACAGAGACCCATACTCATAGAGACCCACACAGACCCACACTCACAAGAGACCTACACTCACAGAGACCCACACTCACAGAGACCCACACTCACAGAGACCCACACATACAGAGACCCACACTCACAGAGACCCACACTCACATAGACCCACAGAGACCCACACTAACAGAGACCCACACTAACAGAGACCCACACTAACAGAGACCCACACTCACAAAGACCCACATAGACTCACAGAGACCCACACTAACAGAGACCCACACCCACAGAGACCCACACTAACAGAGACCTAAGTAAAACTAAACTAAGTGTATTGCCACCAGGGTGTAAGGGGGCCCCCCACTGAGCTGCTGTGCCAATCTTGGTCCACGCGAGCGGCCTGCCCTGCACCAAGTGAAAGCAGCTCCGTCAGGTCGCTCGTCACGTGGCAACAGCGTTAGAGCGGCCAGGAGAATAATCCTCGCACTCTTAAGACGCACCGCTCGGATCGCTAGGGATGGGTTAGCGCGTCTCCCACGTACGTGTGAATATACACAGAGGGTGGACGTGGATGTAAGATAATTTTGTCGTGACGGTGGTCGCAGCTGCTGCGAGCTGCTAAGAGACACTTGCCCCTACAGTCTGTTAGAGGCCACACGGGGGACCTTCACTGGAGGGGTTTGCTTTGCCGCACCAACGCTCCCCACACACACACACGGTGAACTCGTAAAGTGATGACAGGAAACGATGAGGTTAAATGTGCAAAAGTTTCATATATTAAACGGCAATAAACGCATTCAAGAGTGTGAGTGAGGTAAAAGAATAGAATTTCTACATTGAGGTAAACATTTTTTTTTATATTGTGAGGTAAAAACAAATCTTTTTTACATTCTGAGGTAAAAAAATAACATTCTGAGGTTAAATATTTTTTATAAATATTCTGAGGTAAACAAAAAATATTTTGAACATTGAGGAACATTTTTTTTACATTCTGAGGTAAAAA